AAATACAATAGCGAAATAATACACGGATGAGAGAATAAAGATTACCGTAACGATAAATCAAATTTCAAATGAAAAACCTGTAAAAATATGAGCATCCACGAACAGAATTATGTGAAAATTGCTCCGAATTTCGTTCGTTGCCAAAATCTTCCAATGGATCTGACCAAAGTAGGTCACACATTGGACCGAATGCAGGCGGTTCTTTGAATCGATCTAACTGAAAAGAGAAAATAGCCATAACAATAACATGTTAATGGCAATGACAATATTGATTGGAATTATTACAATTACACTAATAAGTAAAACCAACCTTTTTAATGTCATCCAACGTATGAATTTCGGGCGAGAGGCCTCCATGAACACACAAGAACTGTTGATTCATTAGAGCAGCTAATGGCAATGCATCAAACGATTCCATACATGCGTCATAAACCTTTTCCGAATATTTTATCTTGCCTACAACCATACAAACTCATAATCACTTACTTACTTCAATCATTCAACCGTTCTAGAGCCAATCAACTAATTATAATATCTAATACACTTTGAAAATATGCCGATATCGCCACTCCATTGCTTCAATATATTGAAATACAGCCAATACCAGTCATTGCAAAACAAAAACTAGGCGAATTTAGGTGACGGATTCAACTGCGGATAAGTTTTATTCAGGAATTGAACAAATTCTTGATTAATTAGAAGATATGAGCCGAACAAAAGCCAACAACAATAATAATAGTACTGATAAATAAACTAACATTCTTGTTTGAATGTAAAATATTCAGTTAGATGTCTACATTCGTGATTACCACGCAATAAAAATAATGTTGTTGGATAACATAATTTCAAAGACCACAAATATAGAACACATTCTATAGAAAAATAACCCCGATCAACATAATCACCCAAAAATAGATATTTTGTTGTCGCTGGTGTACCACCAACCTGTAATTTTATTTGTTTATTAATTATTACAACGTGTTTTCACATTTACTGTTCACATGTCACTTAATACACCACTACAGCATCAGTTTGTAAAAACAGCTACAACCAGATAATCATACAAATGAAACAAACAACCTCAAAAAGTTTCATCAAGTCGTAGAACTGTCCATGAATATCACCACAAACTGTCACCGGGGCCTCTACATCGAGCATTGTTTTTTCTTGTCGAAATAACGCTGTACATTCGTTTATAATTTTCAACGCTACCTGATAATTGAAATTGACATACTCATTTAATGCTCCATTGATCATCGCTCAAATTAATAATAAATGGATGCTTCATTCTTCGAATAATCTCCTTTCCTTGATGAACGCAATCCCTTCTTAATAACTCGCTCTCCAACAAAAAAATTTCATTCGCTCAATCCATATACATCGATGATCAGTGAAAGAAGAGTGTTATTGAGTGAAGCATTAAAAAAACCAACATCTTCTTGAATTCGACCTTCTTTGACAAAATGTTCTTTCAGGACATCAGCTTTCGGCTTACCAGTCCGCCTATCATATATATGATCCATGCATAATTTTTCACTGATTGGAAATTGAACACCTGAAGAATAATTGAAATGAATGATAAGCGGCTAATAGAATGAAGCAATGTGAATACAAGTTAAAACATGTAATAAAATAAATTTATTTATCGTTAGGTAACTGAAGGTTGGCAATTTGCATAACTTGCATAGCAATAATCACATCTTCTGCAATTTTGAACCAACAGCTGAGCTGTGGGCTCATCAACCTCAAGTTTCGCACAATAACATCTCACTGCAGTAGACAGACGTTCAAATGTCATCATCAGTTTGACTAAGTTCAGTTTTTTTTTTTAAAATTTATATCATCAGTATTCAGCGGCACGTGCCATTTATTAGGACAGTTATTTTTGTTCATCGTTCTATAACAGACGAAGTGGCTGATTGTGGACCAAACAGATATGAAAAACTTTTAATAGTTCGATCCACGACACATGCAAACTCAATAAGGCCACGACAACATTACCAAAAATTAGTATGATAGTAAGAAAACACACGATTGCATTTGTAAGTCTACAATTAATTTGGATAATCTTACAATTAAAAGTGAAATTCTTAAAAGTGTTTTGAATAGCATTGAAACATTTTACAAGAAATTCAATGGTTACTAAATGAACGATGACTGCATTTTATGATCTCAAAGAGCACAATTTGTGCTATAAGAATGAAGAACTGCAGCAGAGAGATGAAATAATTGAAGTGAATGCTGAAATAAACAACCACATTACTTTTTATAACGCGTTCGGTTGTCGTTTTACTGGATGTAGATGAACTATTTGTATTGATGATATTTGATGTGTTATTATCAGCACCACTTGACGTAGTAGCCATTGGTTATTTATTTATTGAAGTATAGGAATTATTAGCAAAAGTAATGACAATGATATAACTGAAAGTCGTTTTCAGAATAACTATTTATTGACCAGCAACTATTCAGTCAACGTTGGGATAAGACGGAAGAGAAGCGAAGAGAAGATAGCTTTAATGTGACACCGGTAAATTTCCAGTGAAAGGCTCGTTCTTAACAACAGGATACTGAGATGATAAAGCCCGAAATGGGATTTTGATAATTATTCAGTGTTGTTGATACAATTTAATATTTGTTCAGTATACGCACATCCGTAAAATGATGACCACTTGTTGCATTCTGAAAAAAATATTCATCAGTTTAGAGATGAAGTATAAAATATTCATAAGTATGAACCGATGTGAAGATATTACACAATAAAGCTGTACGGATAAGAAACTATTTATTATAAAAAGATGGATTGGACGAATAACTGATGATAGCAATTAATGATGAAATTGCTCGTTCTATTGATAAATGGCAACGAAATTAAATGATAAGGCAATTGAAAAAAATCATTCAATAAATAAATCGCACGATAAACGATCAATCTAAAGTAAAGCAACTAGATGAGGAAATAAAATAAAACAGATCGAGCGTTCACCGCTGAACACCTCAAAACATATCCTTCAAGCTAACCACTGATCACAAACAACATTCATTCGCTCTCTTCTCTGGTAGTTGATGAAACAACTGGAACAGACTCTAATACGAGCCGAAATGATAAGAGTGATAAGTGATAAGAATACAGTCGAAGTGATGACAAGCAAAACAAGAACAAATACTAATGGGATATTGTCCAAAATGACGATCAACCCAAATAACCATTCAATATTCACTCTATACTTTATAATCTTTCATAATGAAACGATATAGGATGCATCTAACAAAAGCTGTGTATTTATAATTATTTTAACTACACAGCCTATATTCATTTACAATCTTATATATACCACCATACAATTGATTTCGCTCAGCATAACAACTGAAGTGCCTACGATTTGGTTGTAGTTTTAAATGAAATAATGAGTGTAAGCCTCAACAAACGGATGATGATGATGAAAAAGTAAAGATAGAAGAGGTGATGCTGTTGTTGCTGCTGCTGCTGCTGCTGCTGCTGCATCTGATGGATGATACTCTGTTGTTGTAGCTAGATGGATAGATAGATGGCTGAATATATGGATGGATGTACGACTGGATGTATGGATGGATAGATTGGATCATCATATCCATTCTCTCTTTCGTGATATTTTATGTGCATTCCTTGCACCACCTCATTTGTTTATCAATATACATTCATTTATTCTTAACAAACCAGCAGCACCACATCTAACTATAAGCCATCTCAATACATAGCTTAGCATTTATAACCTTAATCCATTACTTACTCTCCATCTATATGCCCACTCTCTATCTCTCTATGTACATTTACAACAACTACTTTTGCTTATGCCTTTGCGTATGGCTCAGCCAGCATTCAGCATCGATTACTAATACATCGCTTTTATATAGCACTTGCTTCCTCTTTCAATACTTG